CTAAAAAAAATCTTTAGACACATGAGGTGTCTTACGTTTCAACTTCCACCGCTTCCCCCCCCCCCCCCCCCCCCCCCCCGAATTAAAAAAAAAAAGTTTTCAGCTTGAGCAATGTGTACTCTTGAACGAGTTGGAACCGAAACTTTGAGAACATAATTGCGCTTCAAGGCAGGGACGAGGGTAAGAACGAGAAACACAATGCGCTAACTTCAACTATTTAATCCTAATAAAACAAGAAAATAAATACTCTGCGTAATCGCGCCATTAAACCAATCCCATGCCGAATTAATTTGAGAGTTGGGCTAGTTGGTATTCGTTGATCAGAATGTAAAAACAGCGCAAACAAACACGGACGAAGGAGAAGAAACACGCAGACGGTACAAGCGCTGAGTCGCAACTGAAACTTTCACTTCAAAAAGGAAAAAGAAGAAAATAAGATAAAAACACACACACCAGGAAGACCCCAAAATCAGCATTCTCACTCAGAGAAGTACGTGTCAGCCCCTTCTCCTATTAGCACCATCACATCACCGCGTGACCAACTTTCACCCTCTCGCGCATAAATTCAAATTCTTTTTGTGAAAGCGTTATTGAGGCCTCACTCACACACCGATCCCCGAGAGTGACAATGTGAAAGGCCTCGAGCACTTCTCTCGCCAATCTATCCTTGTTTCGTCCTAATACCGCAGTGTCAGGGAAGGAACGTCTGACGGGGAACTTTTCTGAAGGAAAGTTCCCCGTCAGACTCGATGCACGCTTTCACTGAAGACAATAGTCGGTCATGGGGGAGGGAGTAGAAAAGGTCCTCCACGTTCACGCTAGTCCCTCCCCCATGACCGACTATTGTCTTCAGTGAAAGCGTGCATCGAGTCTGACGGGGAACTTTCCTTCAAGAACCCAAGGGGTATAACACTGGATAGCTTTCTGGAACTGCTGCGGTTCTACCTGCTATCGACGGTGGTAGGGCGGCGTGATCCGTGCTTTCTGCAAAAAGCTGGAGTTTGCATAGGTTCCAGTGTGGCTGCCATTTCAAGTGACATTTTCTTGGCGGAAGTAGACCGTGATATAGAGAGGTGTCTATGCAACACCAAGGTTAAAGAAATAGTCAGATACGTCGATGACTTTTTGGTGTTTCACGAGGACTGTGACGGAAGGGGCGTGACTGGGACGTCTGTGGATGAGGTGATGGCAGTTTTTGCGGAGTGTGGCGGAGGGCTCAGGTTTACTGTGGAGGTACCTAAAGGGGGGGGGGGGGGGGGGGGGGGGGGGGGGGGTTCTCCAGGACCTTGACCTCTGCCTCCGCTCTAGCGAGGGTCACATGTGTTGGTGCTACTCTCCGCGATCTCAGAAGGGCCTTCTGGATTACAGGTCGGCTCATTCAAAGCTGATTAAGAGGGGCATAGTACTCTCTTGCTTGGGTGCAGTCTTGAAAACGTCGTGCCCTCATACGCTTTCTAAGAACTTTGGGACACAGTTGCAAAGGTTACGAGCAGCGGGGTTTCCACCGGCATTACTGTCTGACGTTGCAAGTGCATTATTGAAGCGGACTAAAGGATCCCAGGCGGATAAGCCCAGCGTAGAAAAGAAAAGGCCTGTAGTGATCCCGTATATCCACAAAATCTTCCATAGTCTAAAGAAGGTCGGAAGCCGATATAACATACCGGTGGTGTTTTCAGCCCCCCCTCAGACTTAAACAGGTCTGCTCTAGGATTGAAGCAAGAGCGGAAGGGCACCCAAAACGAGAGTGCAGAAAGAAACATGCGAAACCGTTCGTGAGATGCTGTGAGGGGGTTATTTATAAGAAGCACTTCTCTCGTGTAATAAGTGCTACGTCGGGCAGACAGGACGTTGTTTAAACGATAGGCTTAGAGAGCATAACTACTCCCTTAGTGCCACGGTTGGAGGGCACCTCTCGTTGCACTGCAACGCATGCAAGTGTAAACCGTCCTTCCCTGACACTGTGGTATTAGGACGAAACAAAGATAGATTGGCGAGAGAAGTGCTCGAGGCCTTTCACATTGTCACTCTCGCGGATCGGTGTGTGAGAGAGGCCTCAATAAAGCTTTCACAAAAAGAATTTGAATTTATGCGCGAGAGGGTGAAAGTTGGCCACGCGGTGATGTGATGGTGCTAATAGGAGAAGGGGCTGACACGTACTTCTCTGAGTGAGAATGCTGATTTTGGGGTCTTCCTGGTGTGTGTGTTTTTATCTTATTTTCTTCTTTTTCCTTTTTGAAGTGAAAGTTTCAGTTGCGAGTCAGCGCTTGTACCGTCTGCGTGTTTCTTCTCCTTCGTCCGTGTTTGTTTGCGCTGTTTTTACATTATGATCAACCCCATGCCACACAAATGCTCGCAAGAACTGTGTCTCCTTGTCACCCAAATCGATTCACGCCACGCTGACACATCAATCCCCGTAGTTTCTTTTTTCTTTTTTTTTTATCAGGCCTGCCTCTTTCCTTTACCGTCTTATCTCTATGTTTTCTAATAACAGTGCACAAATTAAATTCAGGTTTGCGCCCACAGTCATGGCAGTGCACTGACAAATGACCTTTACGCTGTCGGCTCATTTTTTGGTTGTGTTCGCGCAATCTATCATTTAGACATCTTCCCGTCTGTCCCACGTACTTTCTGCCGCACGTCAGCGGGATCTGATGGACGATTCCTTGTCTCTCAGGTTGTGGCGTTTGTGTCTTACAAACACAAAACCGCAAACAATATTAGGACTCCTCACCCAATACATGTTCCAGGCCACCAGGCAATCGAAGGGAACGAAAGGGCGCACGCCCTGTCTCGAGATGACACAGAACCGAGCCTACCGACCGGTTGGCCGGAGGCCTACGACCAATAGAGGACAAAGCGGAACAGGGGAAAAAACAAAGAATCTTCCTCAACGAACATTTTTTCACAAGTGTGCCGGTTCCCGTGGCAGTTACCGCTGCCAGGAAGACTCTCAAAAAAGTCAGAGACCTGCACAAGAAGACCGCCCTTAGTGTGGACGAACTGTGTCGCCTCCTGGAGTTCTGCCTTAGCAACACCTACTTTAGCGCCAAGGGAGAGTATTTTAAACAGGCCAGCGGACCCGCCATGGGCGCATCCGTCTCCGTTACCATGGCTAACTTGTGCATGGAAGCCATTGAGGAAGAGGCCCTGAAGTCATTGGCCACTGCGCCCAAAATATATGTGCGATATGTAGACGACTGCTTCTGCATCCTTCAAAGATCGCAAGTGGACAAATTCCTCTCACACCTCAACTCCATCGATCCGGCTATCCAATTCACAGCGGAAACTGAAAAGGACAATTCCTTGCCTTTTCTCGACGTGCTCGTGAGAAGAGAAAAGGAAGAGTTGAAGTTTTCAGTCGACAGGAAGCCCACGCATACTGGACGTTATCTCCAGTTTGATTCCAATCAACCAGCCTGCCACAAAGCATCGGTGGTCAGGACACTGCTGTCTAGGGCGAAGGCCATATTGGCTATATGCTCGTCTGAGGCTGAAAAGAAGAAAGGAGGAAAAAAACCGTTTGTGCTGATTGTAACAGTCTTGATACTAGCGCCACCGCCACACTGAGTGAGAGACGACAATAAAGACGAAGCACTTGCTTCCTACCCGCTAAACCGAATGCCTCGCTGACTGATACATGGTGTCAGAAGTCGTTCGAACGTCATCACAAGCCCTGCGGTAGCCTCAGCCATGGAAGGACTGAAACCGCCAGAGCCGCTCCAGTTTTCAGGCAACGTTGCTGAGAACTGGAGGCGTTTCAAGCAACGGTTCGAAATATTCATGACAGCTACGGAGCCACCCGCCAAAAGGAAAAAGGGACAGAAGATCGCGTTGTTGCTGCATGTTGCCGGGGAGCAGGCCGTGGTAGTCTACGACACCTTCAACGTCGAGAGGGAGCAAACTTACGAGGCCGTGGTGGAAATGTTTCATAACTACTGTTCTCCCAAGAAGAATGAAACGTACGAGCGTTACGTATTCAGGATGCGAGAGCAGGCAGAAGGTGAGCTGTTTGAGCAATGCTACAGAGACCTTTTGTTGAAGGCTAAGACCTGCGAATTTGGCAGTTTGGCAGACTCCATGATCGGAGATCAGATAGTGTACGGTATATCGAACAAGAAACTACGTCAAAGACTGTTGCGAGAGCAGGACCTATCGCTTACCAGAGCAGTGGACATGTGTAAAGCGAGCGAAATAGCAGAAAAACAAAACAAAGTTTGGGACAAGCCAGAAGGGTCCGTTCTCAGTATTCACCAGACAACTAAAAGACGTTCGACGGTGCCAATGGAAGCACCAGCTAGACCTGACCGCTGTCAGAAGTGTAACTTCATTCACAAAGGAACAGGCTGTCCAGCAACAGGAAAAGAATGCAGGAGATGCCACCGCCGAGGTCATTTCGCGTTTTGCTGTCCGAAGCAACGAGTGAACGCGATAACTAACGAAAACGACGATCAAGCCGCGGATGCCGGAAGTGACTTTGAAATTCTGGAGGTGGGAGCACGCACTTCTGCAAGTAATCAAGCAGAGTGGCTGATACCGGCGAAGGTAGCTGATAAGGATATCATGCTGAAGATTGATACTGGAGCCCAAGCAAACTTGTTGCCACTGTCGTGGTGGAAACGAGCAGGCAGGAGTGCGGATTTGCGAAGGAGCACGGCAATTTTGCGCAGTTACAGTGGCGGCATAATTGCACACGCAGGAAAAGCATCCTTGACTGTGGAGTGCAACAACACAAAAGAACTCATCGAGTTCTTCATTGTAAAAAAGTCGCGGGCTCCCATTCTCGGTCTCCAGGCCAGTGAACTCCTTGGACTCGTGAATCGTGTTTCGGCAGTTTCCTGCGATAACTTGAGCGCAGTGACCTCCGAATTCCCCGAGGTGTTCCAGGGGTTAGGTTGTGTGAAACGGGCATACCACATGGTGCTGAAGGAAGGAGCCAGGCCAACGGTGCAAGCAGCCCGGCGAGTTCCTCAAGCTTTGCGGCAGCCACGGGAGAGGGAGCTGCAGCGCTTAACCGCCGCCAACGTTATCCGGAAAGTGGATGAGCCAACTGACTGGGTGAGTCCTTTGGTTATTGCGCTAAAAAAAGACGGACAGCTCAGGGTATGTCTGGATCCCAGGAACATAAACGAGTGGATGAAGCGAGAGCATTACCAACTTCCCAAAAGGGAAGACATTAAGGCAGAGCTCTCTGATGCACGATGGTTTTCAACCCTTGATGCAAATTCCGGGTTTCACCAAATACCGTTAGATGATGAGACCACGAGAATCTGCACATTTGCTACTCCATTTCGAAGATACCAGTACCTCCGGCTACCGTTTGGAATAGCTTCTGCACCAGAAGTATTTAAGAAGACCATGTCTCAAATGCTTGAGGGTTTACCCGGAGTTCGAGTATACATCGATGACATCCTGGTGTGGGGTAGAACACAGGCCGAGCACAATGACAGATTACGCGCTGTACTGCAGAGAGCCAGTCAAGAGGGTCTCACGTTCAACATGAGCAAGTGGAAATTCGCCCGCAAGGAAATTGAGTTCTTGGGGGACGTTATTAATGAAAACGGTATCTCCCCAAGCCCAGCTCTCGTTAAGAGCATTCACAATTTTCCACAACCAGTAAGTAAGAAAGAAGTGCAAAGATTATTGGGATTTACAAACTACTTTGGTCAATTTTTGCCTAACTTGTCCTTGACGACAACGTTAATGCGCGGAGTTATTAAAGACGGCTCAGTGTTCGAGTGGTCTGACGCACACCAAATGGAATGGGAACACTTGAAAAATCTCATATCTACAACCCCAGTGCTAGCACTCTTTGATCCGGCAAAACCCACCAAAGTATCTTCGGATGCTTCAAAATATGGGATAGGCGCGGCGCTCTTACAACGACATGTTGAGGGATGGAAACCAGTGGCCTACGCTTCAAGAGTCTTGTCTAGTGCGGAAACACGCTATTCGCAAATTGAAAAAGAGGCTCTTGGAATCACTTATGGTCTTGAAAAATTCCACCACTTTGTGTACGGACGGCGAGTTATAGCGGAAACTGACCATAAGCCTCTGATTGCGATCGCACAAAAAAGTGTAGGAGATATGCCACCACGCTTGCAGCGTTTCTTCTTGAGGCTCATGAAGTATGAGTTCCAGCTGACGTACGTCCCTGGTAGAGAGTTGGTGGTTCCAGACGTCCTTTCGAGAGCACTTCCCTCTGGGCAGCCAAGCGGCACAGAACTAACCGATGTTGAGGTGCATGCATTGGAGCTTCAGCGCACCCTCGTAAGCGAAGCAACTAAGATTCAGCTCGTGCGTGAAACTGCTCGGGACACTGTCCTCACGAACGTAATTAACTGTCTCCGAGCAAACCTCCCTATTCATGGACAGTACAAACCTTTCACCGGGGAATTAACAGAAGTATCTGGAGTTTTGTTTAAGGGCGTAAACGTGGTCATCCCAGAGACCATGCGCCAGCGAATACTCGAGAGGATACACGATGGCCATCTTGGTATCAATAAGTGTAAAGCACGAGCAAGACAGCTAGTTTTCTGGCCCGGCATTAACGAAGATATCACGAGAATGATTCACCGGTGCTCAATCTGTCAACAGTTTGCGTACAAGCAACCGAACGAGCCACTAATGATGCGTGAGGTTCCAGGCTTACCATGGACGCGTGTTGGTGTTGACCTCTTTGAGCAGGCGGGGAACACGTACCTAGTTGCCTATGATGCCTTTTCCAACTTCCCAGAGGTAGAGAGGCTCAGAGAGGCAACATCAGAAACTGTTATTGGGACATTAAGCAGCATGTTTGCTAGACACGGAATACCTCTAGAGGTGTGCAGCGACAACGGTCCACAGTTCTCGTCACGTCAGTTCCAGAGTTTCGCTTTGAAGTATGATTTTAAGCACACCACGTCCAGTACGCATTTTCCACGTTCCAACGGACTTGCAGAAAAGGGTGTCCAAGTGGTAAAACGAATACTGCGGAAAACTGCTGAAGCTAATGAAGACTTCTGGCTGGGATTGCTTGGTTACAGGTCTACACCCCTGGAGGATGGCCGGTGCCCCAGCGAGCTTCTAATGGGACGCCGCATTAGGTCCCGTCTTCCTGACTTCACGCCAGCAGTTCCAAAACCAGCCAGAAAACACACACAGGATAACACTAAAGGATGTTTTTTGAAGCCACTACGGGAAGGTGACGTGGTACGTCTGAGGGACCAAGGACAGTGGGTCACAAAGGGCCAAGTGTTAAGGAACGTGGCGCCTCGTTCTTCACTGGTTGTCACGCAGGATGGCCGGGAATATCGACGCAACAGAGAACACCTGCGACCGACGAATGAAGACCTGCAGAGTTCAGATCACTTTGAGGAGCATCTGGAAGATTCCCCAGCCTGTGCCCTGACCAGCATTCAAGCTGCACCGGCTGCATTGACCCCAACAGTGCAGCATGATGATCCAGCCATCCCAACCACAGTCGCTACTTCAACGAGAACTCCGACCAGCTCCCCAGCTGCAGTCAACTCCGCCGCGAGAACAGAGGATGATCGGGCTAGTGAACTTCGACCATCTGTTGCTCGGACATCAACCCGAACTGTGCGGCGACCCCAAAGGCTAAACTACGATCAGAACTTCCAGCAGCAAGCTTAACGGGCTTTTGAGTTATTGCTTTTTATATTTCGTGTTTTGTGTATTTTGTTTATTTTCGTATGTATTTCTTGTTGGTTTTTCATAGTCCAAAGAAAGGGAGATGTAACAGTCTTGATACTAGCGCCACCGCCACACTGAGTGAGAGCCGACAATAAAGACGAAGCACTTGCTTCCTACCCGCTGAACCGGATGCCTCGCTGACTGATACACTGATCTAAAAAGAAAGGGATACACGAGCACCTTTATCCAACGCGTTGCCCGTCGTCAAGCTCGAGATCACCGACACCAGCAACCACAAGCCTGTACGCAGCCCCGCTCAACCTCGCGTATCTGCGTACCCTACATCAAAGCATCAAAGGAACAAGCGAGGCGCTTGCACGCGTGCTAGCCAAAGAAGGAATCAGCGTGGCCCATAAGCCGATGTCCACTCTTGGGTTAGTCATGCCCAGCCCAAAAGATTGGCGTCCGAAAGAAAAAACACAGGGCGTGGTTTATAAGATCCCTTGTACAGATTGTCCAGCCACTTACATCGACGAGACAAAGAACTTCAATGAAAGAAGACGTCAACACAAAAAACGACGTTCACAAGCTCAACCACGAGCGCAGCGCAGTCGCTGAGCGCTGCGAAGTCAAAGACCACCGGTATGATTTTGACAACACCAGCATTATCGGCGCAGGGACTAACAAACGACATAGGCTTTTCATCGAGCTCTGGCACATTCAAACGGCGCCAGGAAACATAAACAGGTGCCTTGGCGATCTACTAACAGTGAGTGTGAACGAGCTTCGCCATATCCGTGAAAGAAGAAGATCGAGGAATACGCCATATCCCTGAGAAAAAAAAAGAAGGCCGAAAAAAATGAAAGCCGTTTACGATTCCCTGTAACGCCGGTTAGAGCGCAGCTCTTGAGGAGGCAGATGGAAGCGTACTAAGGGATAGGTGACTCCTTGAGGTCATGTGACCTCAAGGGGGTCACGTGACTTCAGGGGGTCACGTGACCTCAGGGGGTCACGTGACCTCAGGGGCTCATGTGACCTCCGGGGGTCACGTGACCTCGGGGGTCACGTGACCTGAAGGGGTCACATGACCTTGGGGGGGTCACGTGACTTCTGGGGGTCACGTAATTTCAGGGGGTCACGTGACCTAGGGGTGTCACGTGACCTGGGTGGGTCACGTGACTTCGGGGGGGTCACGTGACCTCGCGGTTACGCCGACGGCGACGCCGACGCCGCTCAAGCCGGAAACGGGCCCCTAACCGCTCATTCACATTGGAAGCGGATCCGCGTTCGCAAAGCGGTTGCGAACGCGGTTGTATAAAGATCCAGTACATCTGCACGCGCACTTGATGTCAACGAGTGCGCGTGCAATTGCACTGGATCTTTATACAACCGCGTTCGCAACCGCCTTGCGAACGCGGATCCGCTTCCAGTGTGAATGAGCGGTAAGAGCTGCGCTCTAAAAAGTGAAAGCCGTTTACAAATCCCTGTAATGCCGAACTGGAGCGCAGCTCTTGAGGAGGAGGAGTGAAGGGTACTGAGGGGGAGGGTAGACCCCTCCTCCTCCTCCTCCTCCTTCCCTCATTCTTTAATATACTCCGGGGGGGTCACGTGACCTCGGAGGGGGGGGGGGGGGGGGTGTCACGTAACTTCGGGGAGGAGGGTCACGTGACCTCGGGGAGGCGTGACCTGGGTGTCACGTGACCTTGGGGTGTCACGTGGGGGTCACCTTGGGGTCATGTGACCTTGAGGCGACCTTGGGAGGGGTCACGTGACCTTGGGGAGGGGACCACGTGACCTGGGGGTCACGTGACCTTGGGGGGACCTTAGGGGTTACGTGACCCTCAGGGGGTCACGTAACCCCTAAGGTCTTGGTTGGTTGTCCTAACCTTAGGACATGGTTGGTTGTCCTATTTTAATTACGGAGATCGACGTGCCAGCGTGGCGTCGATCGGTTTGAGCAACAAAGAGACACAGTTCTTGCGAGCATTTGCGTGGCATGGGATAGGTTGAATAGCGCGATGGTGCCGAGTTTTTATTCCCTTGCTTTTTTTCAGGCTTAAACAGTTAAAGTTAGCGCATTGTGTTGTCTCGTTCTTACTCTCGCCCCTGTCTTGAAGTGCTATCATGTTCTCAAAAGTCTTCGGCTCACCGTTAAGGGAAATCAGTGACAATATACACCTTACGAAATCTGCGAAGCCTGCATCCCTGCAAAGCACCAGGCAAAGCCAATCTCTGCAATCCACGCTTTTCATAAGTCCGCGCCAACGCCTGTCCGCCATTGCTTCATCACGTACTCTGAGCATGGACTGGACACGAGTACTGCGCGAGTGTTCGCTGAGGAGGCGGATCCAATCGCGCGCTACGCGTCCATGGATGGATGGATAGATGCTAACGGCTGTACCCTTTATATCGGGCGGTAGCTTGCGCCCACTAGCCCATAGGGTAAAAACCAAAAGTATACTCTCTTTTCTTCGCCAATTTGCTTAACCTCTGCAATATCATAACTATCACCAGGCGGTGTGGGGTATCGCTGTCCTGCCTGTCTCGACCGCAAATGTCGCTCGATGGACTTTTCCAAAGGGTCTATTTGCAGAGGGAGCTCGGCAAATGGCGCAGCCGAAGATATATCTATGCCTATAACAAAATCGGTCAGCTCCCTCACACTGAACATGGCGTATCACCATGCCTCGTGTCACGGCGTAAACTGGTTTCTACGTCAAACGTGTTTTCTCTCTCGGCATTGGCCGAGGATCCTGCGCAGATTGGCTGTCACGAGTGCTTCGAAGGAAAGTAGACGCCTGTTATCTTTGTTTAGACGGCCGCCTGCAAGCGTGTGTGCTTACTTATACGTGTGAGTGCACGCACGCGTTTACGTGCTTGTCCGTGCTCGCACAGTCTCTCGCGAACGCGTGTGCGTCGATGCGCGTGCGAGTTCGGGGGCGTACCTCTTAGGACGTGACCCTTGTTTACTCTCCATCACGTGCATCTAAGAATGGGCATGTAGGTGTGCGAGTATAGGCCCGTTCGAGCGACCATGTGCGTATTTGTGTACTGTGTGTAAAAACCTGTGTGCGTTTGCGCGTGCTTGACTTTAATTCGGACAGGTTTATTTAAAACGCGGGTGAGATTTAGAAAAGTGCCGCCTTCGCCGTGTGTAGACATATGACGCTCGGCGTACATAGGGGTGATCGTCATGGTGAGTGTGGCGAATGAACTAGATGTATGTGTTAACCTTACTATTTGTGTTAGGTCCCATGTTGAAATTACAGTATTGACGGTATGTACAATTAAAATTCAAAACAATAAAAAAATATCGAAAGTATAGAACATTTTTTAGACATTAATTGATAAATGTTCGAGTGTTTCGACCCGATTTCAATATTCCGCTCAAGAAGAGCGTCGCAGTCCTCGCTTAAACGGACGTTTAGAAGAGTGACGCAGTCGTTTCAGTCACGTCGTCACTTTTGTCGTCGGCGCAACAACCATGGGCATGCGGCCGATATAGTGACGACAATATTTAAACAACTGCGTCATCCCCCAAGCGACATTGTGGGCAGTACTTCTGGCACTCTTTTATCTCGAAATTGTTTTAGAGCCCAGTTCTTAGGCCCCCGTTTCCGGCTTGAGCGGCGTCGCCGTCGGCGTAACCGCGCGGTGCATTATGGAACGTGTGACGTCAGTGGTGACGTCACTGATGACGTCATCAGTTACAATGACGATGACGTCATCGTAATGACGTCATCGTCATCGTCGCGTGACCTTACAGGGGTCTCGTGACCCCGGTGACGTCACGTGAGGCGACGGCGACGCCGCTCGGAGGGAGGACTAGCAGATAGGATGAGGAGGTGAGGACGAGGAAGGAGGGGCATATCCTACCCTCTCTACTCTTCCCTCCTCTTCCTCCTCAAGATCTGCGCTTTAATTCGGCGTTACAGGGAATTGTAAACGGCTTTCAGTTTTTAAAGTCGGGCTTAAAGTAGATTAAACTTATAAATGAATATTTGAATAGCTATTACAATTTCCCCGTCATTTTATTTGGTCTTGCCTCTAGTAGTTATTGACGTCAAAACTGATTGCAACATGACCGCCAAAAATCAATAATTCAAAAGTTAATTATCGTACTTTAGTTAATTATTCCACTTACCATAACGATTATCCGCTCATCTAATGTCCGCCGAGCCTGATAAATACACGGTGAAGTCGGCACTCGCCTATTTTTTGCACCTTTTTTTTTCTTCATATTTTCGAATTGATATAACTTACCCTGTACACGTGCGCACATATGTGTAAAGAAAACAGCTCCAAAATAACACTAAGACCAAGGCAAGAGGGACAAGACAAGGCGCACTTTCAACGGAAGTCTTTTTGCAAACATAGCCGCCAGGAAACGCTACGTAATTGCCCATTGCGGCACAGCCCGGATTTTATATATTCGTACTAATTTCTAGTTAAGGCTAAGGACCTGTCATTTACGCATGTATTTTTCATTTAGTCCAAATCTGAAACATCTCATAAATTTCCCCCGACACTTTATCTTTATAAAGCGCCAAAATCTTGGTGTCACTGAAGGCATGTCTGCATGAACACATGCTACAATAAACAGCAAGGTGTCCTGACGGTGTTGATCTTGCGAGAGCTATATGCTCATGGACACAATCTTTCACACATCTACCCGTCTGACCGACATACCACATACCACATTACATGAAAATTTTATAACCATTTATGTGGCGCAATCAGTGAATGTATTGCCGTGTTTTGTGCTACACGGGTCTATGTTTGACTCTGGGTTATTCATCTGGCGTCAGAATACCGCCATCTTGTTAAGTGCTGAAAAAAAAAACTGACCGGTACACATTAGTGTTGAACAACTTTCTTCAGGTCTTGGTTGACTGTTCATTTACGGGATGACTACCGGCCTCGAAGATGTGCTATCGCGGTTCGGTTTTTTCCACCCTTTGATTTTTTTAGTAAGGTTTCCAGCACCTATACCAATGCGCTATGTGGAAAGCCCGCTCTCAGCCGCCTCAGAAGACTCTCAATCATTCTCGCAAATGTATGTTGTGAGCTCTTCCAACAGAAGTTTTCTAGAGATGCTATCCCTCCTTTTACTACTCTCGAATGGGCTGAGTCATAAGG